CAGGACTACTACTACTATTTTTCATATCATTTGTTGTTCAGTGATGCATTAATATTTTGCTATAGCTTTTGTTCAAAAAAAAAACTACAACACTGTAAGCAAAATACTCATGAAAATTAAGCCCTTGTCCCGATTTGAACTGAGTTCTTAGATAACATCCATAGATCCATCCCTAGAGTTCAGTATCATTATCAATTTGTGTTTTATAGAGAAGGAAATTGAGACCTGGAGGAGAAAATCTACCTTCTTAGAGTCACACAGCGGAGCAGCTGTGTGCAGCCTGTGTTCACTTAGTAGTGAACACAGTAGGCTAGTGCGAGTCATGCCCTATGAACAACTCTGATAATGCATTTTAATATTTGCTGTTAAATGTGAGCTGGAAAGTGGGCTGTACTTAGTATTGGATTTGGCTAGATAGAAGCATGGTGATGTTACGAAATCTGCCTGCACTGTGACCTAAGCCATGACACAAACAGAGCTCTCCTGAGGAAAAGCTTTATAGTGCCATCTACCTACCATTCTTGTTCTTAATGCAAAAAGAAGCTCATGTAAGCTAGGAGTCATATATCTGAATACCTGTAATGGTATTACATAAAATGTGAAAAATGTAAAATTACAACGGTAAACTTGTGGATTATATTAAAGATACTTAAAGATAATTAAAGATAATTGAAAATATCAGGCCACATTAAACTTGAGGTCAGGCTGGTGGAATCATGTCAGAGATTGATTTGGTCTAATTATGTTTCAGTGCACAATATATTGCAGCCATTCAATTATGCACATAATGGTTAGGCAGTGTAAGAGTATGCACCGATTTTTTCTACTAGGATTCATAAATCTCCACGAGCACTGCAGACGCGTAATCCCCTCCTCCAGTCCAATATGCGTGTGCAAGCTGGAGATAAGTATAAAAGATAGTACTTCAGAATCTGGCAAGCTGAGGTGAAACAATTTGATATGAACACAGTCTCTGCACCTTTATATGATCCATAAAGATTTTTGACTAAGGTAGTTTTTGCCCATGTGAAAAAATCCTGGTAACTATAGACATCCTGGAATCCATCTGTAAAGCTGTTCTCAATGTGCTTGTTTAAGTAGTAGGAATTGGGATCTCTCTGCCCATAGGCAACCAATAGCAGCATCCATAAAAATCCCAGATAGGCTGGAAAAGACAAGAAGAGACAGTGCATGTGAGCTCAGAATTAATACTGCTGTTAGTACTGCTGTCACCACTTATTAGGTTAGAGAGATGCTTTGTAAGACTCTAGACCACTGCCAGTGACTTTACACAAGCTCCTTCAAAGTGCTGAAGTTCAAGCGTATCACGTTTGGAATATGAGTAGCGATCAAGAAAATAAGGGGGAAGGCTGGGTGAACACCAATAGCAGTGAACGCTCTAAATGGAACTGGTAGTCTGACTTTGTTTCAAGTAAAGTTGAAGTAGTTTTTTCCATTGCTTTTAGAGTAAGCAAGACTGGAGTGTGACTCATTATCTGTAGATAGTTTTTGCTTTCAGAAAGATGCCCTCCAATTGCTGTTTTGATTCCAACTTCTTTTAAGCACTGACCTCCTCCTTTTGCCCTTTCTAATTTGTTTAGCCTCTCATATTTCTGTAGTCTGTCTCCTTACCATAAAATCCAGCCTTAGCCATACTTTTATCTGCAGCTAACATTTCCACCCCTCCTTAGCTCAAATTGCACTGAGCAGCCCACCTCTACACTGTAATGGCTAGCAGAAAGCAAAAGATAGATACACTACTCTTTTACCCAGGAGAACAATATTTTCACTGATGTAAAAATATTGATGTGCATAAAACCAAAAGATAATCTATTGATGGGTTATACCCAGGATTTCTCTGATGAGAGCAAATGCTTTTTGCTCCTTCATGCAGCTGATTTTCATTTTCTCAACATCTGTTGCAGGAGGTGGCTGGTAGATGTTGCTTCTGCTGTCCCGTCGGGCTCCAAAGAGAAGATTTGAATCACCTGTAAGAGAGAGCAGGAAAACCTAGAATCATCGAATAGATCCTCTACGTCCTACTTTTCATTTATTTTGTAAGGAAACATACTTTCTCTTACAAAGACATGGGGCATGACTTAAGCCATCAGTAGAGTAAGGCAACGATGGTGAGGGAAGCAGCTCACAAACACAGTGTGACAGGCTCAGGCTGTAACCTTGTAGCCTGGATGTCCCTGTCTTCCCGTTGCCCAGCCTAGACTGGGCATCTCAAAAGATGATATACTCAGAGCTTGTGACTGAGCAGGGAGAAAACTGTTGAGCATCACTCTTCACTGTAGCCTAGGACTCCTGTTTGCCACTGTAAACTTTTTTTAGACATGATTGTGATTGCGTTAGCCACTATTTGATTAATGGGAGTGGTAGTACAGATAGTTGTGATAGCAGAATGGCTGTAGAAAACTACATAAATTGGAAAACTGAGAGCTTTCATAGCATAAGACTTAAAGTGGGAAATTACCTTCCAACAGAAGTTGAATTTTACATAGGCTTATTAACTAAAGATCTACCATATTAGGTGAGAGTGCAACATTTTTCACTGCACTACATGTTTATTTTCACCAAGTTGTAGAATAGTTAGTGTTTTGTTGCAAGCCGTCTTGTGAAAACTGAGATGTCGGCTTAGACAAATCTCCTTGTAAATCTGTTTTTCCTTATGTCTCTTATGAGAGCTGAAATATTTAAGGATGGCTTCTGCATATTTATAGCACTAATTCATTAATTTTGATTTTGATGTTTTCAGATGGTTTGCTGCATTTTATTATATTCTTCCCTAGATGTTCCTCGAATGTTGAAAAACTGAAACATGGTTGCTGAGCTACCAGAAGACTTTCACAATTCTTGATCTTATATGCACCAATATAGGAAAATGGTTCTTCTTTCCTGACTTGGGCAAGCCAGTGATGCGGGGAAGGAAGAAGTCAGATAACAGTATCCGGAGAGCAGGTAGGTCCTCCAATAACAAGGGCAGTCTCACAACAGGACAGGGTGCATGTATGCATATTTGCAGAAGTAAAAAAGTATAGAAAAAGATAAACAAGGAGGTTTGATCCAGAATTTTTTCTCCTTTATCTTTTTGATCTTGTGGTCTTTTTCGTTAAGTATTCTGTAAAATTTATCCTACCTAGGCATGCAGTGGTCACTCTCCTCTTCGTTGCTATTCTGGGAATATTTCTCAGCCCTTACTGATTATTCTGATGTAAAGCTGAAAGGATGTCTTTCCTCATATTCCTCTCCGACTAGCACAAAATCAGTTGGGCATGTAGTCACAGCACCTGTGCATTCCAGAGATTTGTGCTATCTTCAGGTAAGATTCACGTATATAAAGATATCTAGTGAATTCCTGAGTTGACCTGTGGGTCACATATTTGTGCATAAAACGCTCCAAAATATCAGAGAACACTTCACTATCTTTCATCATTTCTAGCTTGTACACACAGTTACCTGGGGCAGATAAAGACCCATCAATAGCTGTGTTTTCTTCATCCTCCTGCTCCACCTTCTTCAGAACCAGAGCAAAAAATGCCGCGAATCCCAGCACCTGGAAAGAATTAGCTGTAGACTCACTGCATGCCTGTTTCACATGAAGAAGCTCAGGCTCTGACCTGGACCCCTTTGAATCCAGGCACTGCAGACCAGGCAGAAGAACTGTGCTTTGACTGTGTTGCGCTCATGCAGCTGAAACACATGAACAAGAGAACAGCACACAGGCCCTAGGGCCCTACTCGCTGAAGTCCTTTAGCCATATGAAACGTCTTCCCTGCTCAGAAACCTCATCACCTATCAAACTCTGGCAAAAGAAGGGGAGATGAAACTAAAGGAATTAATGCAAGCAAAAGACAGAACAACACTGTAATCTAGCTGCTAGCTCTTGTTGTAAGTGCAAAGATTTCTTGTTTTACAAGTCCTGTGGTTCTTTAAAACACACAACACTTTACCTGAAGTGATGGTAGAAAGAGTTCTTATTAGCCCATAGTTATACTTTTGAGGATCTCACCTTTAAAGGCTGTGTGATGAAAAGACTTTCAAAGAAGGAGATGGCCATGGAGATCAACCACTTGATGGAGTTCTCCTTGCCATAATGCAGCCCATAGAGCATCGTAAAGAACCCAGATACACCACTGGTGGCTGCAACGAGGAACCAAGCAATGAACACAAACCACCAGGGCAGCCCTTTGGAAGAAGAGCTTTTCTTGCCATCACCGGAGAAGCTTGGAGTGAGGGACCACCTTGAGAGTCCACCAGAAGAGAAAAAAATTAGTTCTACAATGGAATAAAAGCCAGTGAACAAAATCACAGTCTTCAGGTGCAGTAGGGATAGGCAACATATTACAATTTAAAATACCGACCAAAATACTTTACGTTCTTTTAACTAATGCAATTATACAGGATATATGGATAGCAAAAGGTACAGAGAGCAAAAATATGGGGAAGTCTGCAGACACCAGCTAAAATGAAAACAAGTCTGATGGGCGTATTTAGTCCTCAATTCATGCATAACTGAACTTCCAGTAGAAATGTTGATAAAAAGATAAACATATGAGCACATTTTAGCTGCTGGATACGTCCCTTGTGATCACTATAAAGACCAGAGAGATAATTACTGGTGTTACTTTCAATATTTCCAACTTAACAGTCAGTTTTTTCTGAGATATTTTTGTTTGCTCATTAATATTTCTTTATCCATATGTTTTTTGAGCCTTCCTGAGACTCTGGATCTCAGTGATTATCTTCAGTGTTTTGCTGTAATGTGGCACTGTGTTGTAACGTTCAGTTTTGGAGGCAAAAATGACAAAGAGTGATGGTTTGTCTTTATTGCTTTTGTGTACAGTACACAATGCACTGAAATTTCTTTGTTGCTCCTACTATAGTATAATAATAAGGCATGCTTCTACAGCTATAATAATGCTTACCTAGCAAGTATTAAGCAGTAATTATTTTGGGCTCCATCATCCTGGCCAGTTTCGAGTTCATGACCTGAATTTAGTTTTACTGAAAGTGGGATGAGAACTAGGTTACCTCTCGCTGATGGATGCTGATGAGCAGATCCGGTTCTCCAGGAGTCATCTGAAACTTATGGGGCCCCAGTAGTTCCAGCTCCATCTCTACATGCTGGAGCTGCATGTACAAGCAGCGGTTGTAGTCACTGTATTTCAGCCGCTCACACATTCCCTTCTCTGGAGTTGGGCTTCTTGTTTTTTCTGCAAGTAAAGAAAAAAATTTTAAAAATCAGCATAGCTATCCATAGATTAAAATACTGTTTGCTATGAAGGGTAACTGATGTGGAGCTCAGGGTTATCTGTGTGGCAATGCACAATAACATTTGAAGGGACACGTAAATGCAACTTCAGTAATGAAGCTTTAATGCTCTTCTGTGGGGATAGGCTGGACATACCAGGAGGCAATTTGGTAAGAGAGAGGTCTTAAAACCTTAACAGAAAAGTCAGATGAGATCAAGTGCTACTTTGTTTGTAGTCTACCTGCGCAGCAATTCGTAGCTTGGTACACTCACTGGAAAAGCCAAATGCAAGTCTTAATGAAATCAGTGGGATTGTTCACTCATCTATTATTGTTTAATTGCAAATAAATCAATGCCTAAGTTAAGAATCAGACTGAAAGGATCAACAACACAGAGTTAGCAAGAAAAAAGCAGAGGACAAAATGATGTGAAGCAACTCATATTTGAGAGACTTGATGCTATAGTACTGATCCTTCTGCCAAGCCAGGCTGGTAGCTGACATTTCCTTCTACAGAGATATCCTGGTGTCTTCACTTAATTGCCTTTAAGACAGAATATAAGAGGAGCTTGGGTCATCACATCCTCTGGTCATCATCATTTTCACTACACAGGTTTCAGCGGGACTGTCACATTGTGTTACCTACCTTGTATATCCACAGCACCTATTGTGACAATTATAGGGTCATCCTTCTTTTTACTCTCCTCATAAAACTCTTGGCCGATTCTGTTCTGCTGGCAGATGATGTCCTCAACCAATGCCAAAAGTGTGTTGATGTTAGTTGATTTTCCAGGGTCTGATACTGAGGTGAGTGATGGAGTCTTCAGGGCTTTAAACAGTGAGCTGGCAATTCTCCTTATGTCCTAGAAAAGACAGCAGCAACATGGCAGTGACTCTGCCTGCAGTGTCTAAACCTGATGTGATCTAAAGACATCACTGGTTGGGAGGGCACAGACTGCTAAAATCTCCGGAATGGAGATAGCACATCTTATAAGGCTGGATGTGACAGGCTGATTTCAGTGAGTTCAGCAGGACAGCTTTTGGGATTCAAAAATGCTGTTTACCTGACTGAGGACCTAAGCAGAGGAAGACGGGGGCTATGATACCTTTGTCTTCACTCTCCTGCTTAATGTTTGCTTGAAACCACTGAGCACAGTGATTTTGGTCCCACATAATTGTGCAAGGACTTGAGATGTACATAGGCAGATCTTGCTTAAGTCAAGAGGTCTGCTGCAGGTGGAATATACCCTGAAGGTGGATGCCTCTAGCGAGTTCCTCCTTCCTCCCATGGCCATGTAGATGCATAACTGAGTGCTTTGCCCTAGTGCATACTTGGCTTGCAATTGCGAGCGGTCTGAAGGGCTTCTGACAGGAAACATTTTTGCTCTTACACTGTAGATACCGGATGGTGTGTGGCAGCAGAGGGCAGTGCAGAGCGCCCTGGGGGGCAGCCACAGGGTTTTGCCTTTATCACAGCCTCTGGAGTGAGTGAGACAGCCTGGGTGACCTGTGGTGTGGGAGGTAGGCTTGGGGACACACGACCACACTTCCCTGGCTTCTTCTCTCTCCCCTGCATGGTTGGCCGGGATCGTATGTTCCTGAAGATCTGCACAATGAGCAGGTTGATGGGGAACATGAGGAGGGAGCTCTCAAAGCCAATCATCACCTCCTGCCATGTGAACTCGATCTTACCTGTCAAGATCAAGCAGGAGGTGTAAGAATAACCCCAGGAACCATCAGATCTGTCTTTTATGAAAAATCCCATTTGTTCAGCAGTCCTGCTTCTAGATTCTGCTATCTCACTATTTCCCTGCCCAAGCAATGATTAGGATTATTACCCAGGTCCATTTTCTGCTCTGCTGGATCCTTTGGCACACCCCAGAACATGATGCTAGTCAGCATGGTGCAGAGCAGCAGTGAGAAGCAGCATGACACGCGCTGGGCTCGTGTGAAGGAGCTTCGTGGGGAGCGGCTGAAAACTGAGTACCAGATGTGTCCGTCTTGGAAGCCCTTGGAGGTCTTCATGAAAAACAGATTGCTGGGAAGGAGGAGGGGGAAATCAAGGGGATGCTTAGAAAGGAGAAGGAATAATAAAGCTGCAGTTTGGGGCGCTGACCTGTTGGTGCCTCTGGGCACTATCAGAAGAAATAGTAACTATGAGAAATTACTAAATATCATGACTTGATTTGCATGGAATGGTCTTAGCAACTTATGTCCTTTCCTTTTGGCCACACCATGGAGGAAAAGCTAATCACAAGCAGTTTCTGTATAAATGTTCAGGGAAATTACATATAAGAGAAGATAAAGTGCTTGGATTTTTGCAGATCTTGTCAGACTATCCTTTTTTAATACCAGCATTTCCACTCTGGTGTTACCATTAAGGTAACAATTAGACTTAGCTAATCATCCTTCCTAGACTTAGCTAACCATCCTTCCTCTTCTCCTTGTCCAGAACCCTTTGAAGTCAGTGGAAAGGCCTCCCTTGTTTTCATTTTGGCCTAGGAGTTTTGTCTTTTTTGCACACTTGTTTTTCTCGGCTGATTAGTCTCAAGAGCTGAAAAGCCTGTACAGCAGGAGAATTTACCTGAACTGCTTCATGTCCTGTTCTGTAGCTACTGGGAACACTTTATCGAGGACACACTCTCCAATATCAATGGCTAGCCAAGAGTTACAGAGGAAATACCATTTCTGGTCCCATGCCAGATCATGGACCAATACTCGATTCACATACCTGTAAGAAAAACATACAGAGCACATTCACATGTAACTGAGCGGTATGAAATTCAGGGCTCAGCAGGAGTATGGAGGACAAACTCTGGCCTTTGGCTTGTTTGGCTGCGTCTGAACTGTAAGGCACTGAACACCCTCCAGTGTGCCCCAAAATGCTAGTACTCAGACTGGTGACCTAATCCAGAGGATGGTCACTGCGCCTGGATTTCACTTCATAGCTTCTGTAGTATGTTTTAGGAGTACTGACAGAAGTTTTGCCCCAGCACAGAATCAGGACGTAGCAGGGATATGTACTGGACACAGTATATGGGAGGCACTCCTGGTCCTGCAGTATAGGTTATATTTTGATCTGTTCATCTGCAAAGAAGAGAAACTAACACTTCCTTCCATTCTACAATTGTGAAAAGGATAGGTTTTTTATGCACTACAAAAGGAAAAATGATTTTATTGTTTTCTTAAAGATTGCGAATCTTTAATATTTCCCTGCATACACTTACCAGGATGGACTGAGCCCTGAATTATCATGCCACAGCCTAATACTCTGCAGTTCCCCAAGAGGGAAGAGAGTACAGAGTAGGAAAACATCCACTCCTCCCCGTTCAAAGACTGGTGTATCAGGATCAGTTAGATGGTGTGGCTCACTTTCTCCTTCCAGTCCATAGAGGGTGAGAGTCACCTGGAGAACAGAAGGACAGACGGAAGACCTGCACATCTCAGAATTCTATATGGGATTATTCCTCTGACATACTCGTCCTGGCTTCCTCAAAGTTAAAGACTTTCTGGCTTAGAAGTTGCATTTGAGCCATCCCGTTTACTAGTCCCTGGCACTTCATTATTCATCCAGTTCTATACATGCATGCATAGACTGTATTACTGCACAGTTCCTTCAGTACCTTAGAGGTTGTGGCTGCCCCTCGGCGGTGTCCTGTAAAAACTGTCACAAGGTAACGATACTGAGCAAAGGGGTCATTGTCTTCCAGTATGGTGATTTTCACCTGCAGAGCGACATAACACAAGCAGTGTGTTAGCAGTTCTGTAAGTATGGCTGCCTTAATGCTGTGGATAGGAATTTGTCATCTTGTGAACGATGCATATACTTACCAGGAAACATAGAGTAAAAGGGAAGGGAGTAGGGTTGGTTGAAGACTTCCTATTAAAACAGTTTTATGTTATTGACGTTTTGCACAAAAAAACCCTGCTTTTCCCAGAAGGTTTTTTTCAGTAAAAAATGAAAAAACTTCAAAGCTGAATTTTCTAAAGAAAATGTAAATAAAATCAGCCTTTCCACTTCTGTTCAAATTTTCCCTAGGAGAAAAGTTGTGCCTAGAAGCAGAGTAGGCAGAAAGACATGGAAACAAACAAAGTTTGGGCACTCTTGAGCGTCAAACCAAATTCAGTTTTATTATAGTCTCAGTTTCAAAGCTTAACATAGTCAACTCACTGATAGCTGAAGATATTCCAGGGAATATGCTGAGAATGACCCTTGGAACATCCACACTAGCTCTCAGATCACATTTCATTTAGGGGCTTCAGCTTACAGAAGGATGGGCTACTGTCTGTCCTAAGTGCTTGGAATGACATGTCCTCCACAGAGAAGGCCAGGCAAAGCAGGAATTGATCTAAATATATTCAGTCTTTCTGAAGACTTACTTTGGCATCATCCTGGATGTCTTTCCTTCGAGCCCAAATAACTACAAGCACATACACCAGAAAGATACATCCTACAGTTGTCACCACCACAGGGTTGTCCACAAATGTACCAAATAGCTCTACAGTTTTGCTAACATCAATGGCATTGGGTATGATGAAGAAGGAGCTCCCAAAGAAGGTCAGATGGTTGCAGAGGCACTGTGTGCTTCTAGGATTTGTTTTCGGTCCTACCTGAAAACCAGAAAAGTTTCCTGATAAAACGTTCTGGACATTTGGCTTCAAAGTATTACGTAACATACCAAGCAAACTAAAGACACTGCTGAGATTGATCAGTTAGTGTGGAGAATTGCTATATAGGAAAGAATTGCTCAAGTTTCAATAGGTAATATTAATTCTAATATTTAGCCAGAAATAGGCATTATTACACAGTACGGACTGGTCAGAATGGTTCTGTTTCTTCTTATAGGGAAACACATCCGAGGAAAGTAGTAGAAACGTCATTTTATATTGGACTGAACTTCACCTCTTGATTTTGTTAAAACATCTCAAAACAAACTTATTTTATGGTGTGAGTTCAAACCTGTTATTCTGCTACAATGCTGTAGTTGTAAGGGTTGGCTTTGAAGTCTATAATATAAACATAATTATAACGTTATTTTGTTTTACTCTACTTACATGACACCCATAGCTGTTCCAGTTCCTGCGGTGCTCATCCCAAAATGCGCAGCGGGATGCGAAGCAAGTGACAGCTATAGTTAGTCTGTCATTGACTGTAGAATCCATTCCCATATCTTGTAAAACCATGAAATAGTAAGTTCCTGCTCCAAAAAAGAGTTCTTCTGGACTAAGAACCCAGGTGTTTTCCTCACCTTGAACATAAATATTTTAGCTTCAGTGTATATAAGAAAATGTTAATTCAGAAGTATATGGCTCTATTGCATATAATCAAATAAATGAACTGAACCAAATGAAATGAACAGGTGTCAAATAATCCTTAGCAACTCATTGTTCAAAACATCACACCCTTTGCTCCTTTTGGTAAACACTGAATATTAGAGACTGGAGCCCTAAAGAATGGCAGATCAAAACTCCCTTGAGAAGTTTCTTTCCAGCTGGACTCTTAAACAGTCAGGCCTCATGCTGCAAATAGCAAGTGCAAACCCTGTAAACTTGCAGGGGAGCACTCCATGTTATCCATACTACGTGCCCTTAACTTGCTGTGGATCGTGGGTGTACATATGGCTTAGTCTTTTGGGCACATAAGCCCAGAATGAACGAGTTCAAAAGTCACTAGCAAGTTGTCTTACCTCCAGTAGTCTTCTTACAGAGCAGATGATTTTTGATATCGTAGTTAGTTTCATTTGGACGAAAACCATATCCTAAGTAGAGTATTAGTGGAATGTCTTGTTCAGATTCCAGGTGGATCACTATAGATGTGTTTTCTGAAGTGACATTGACTTGGAAAGCGCTAAAATTGCCCAGATTCAAAAGAATCCTGTCTTCCTGAGTTGCTGAAAGCCTCGGTAGCATAATCTATTTTTAATCAGAAAGCTATAGCTTTGAATACAGCAAAGCACCTTGTTTCTATTATTTATAAGCACAATACAGCCACATACTAGAGAATCTTTTTTCATAACATAGGGAAAGCATGGCCAGCAAAAAATGTTGCCTACTTATCCTAGATAAGCTTCTCTAATGTATTTTTACTTCCGAGTAATTTTCTTGATTCTTTCAAATAATCTCTGAAAAGTCCATTTCAAATCTGTATAGACTCACCACAAATTTTGTGATCTTTGGTGTGCTTATGATCTAAGAGGTGAGATTATAACTATAACTGGCTATCATTGCAACACTGGCTACACGAAGTTCATCTACGAATGAGTTAGATGTCAGTTTATACACAGGCTAGGAAGCCCATCAGTACTAGTACGAACAAACAATTGCTGGATGATGAAATCAGACGTTGCATTCTATTTCAGGACGACCATAATTTATAGTCATTTTCCCTGACCATTAGCATTCTTACATCCATTTAAATGAAGAGTAAGATACCCACATTTTAAGAAAAGACAGAACTATATGTTACTTTATTCTTCAAACCACACAAATCACTCCATCACAAATGCATGCACCATGATCCCATTATGTGGTAACAAACACAATACCGCCATTTACAATCACCACACCGAAGATAACAAAAATGACAGTTTATAAACGGGAGAAGAATACAGGGAAGAGAGGGAGAGGAATAGAAAGTTTTGGGTATACCTCGATATTTTCTTTGAGATTGCTGACTGGTATGATCAAGCCATCCAGACCGGTAAGACTTAAACCTCCCACTGTTCCACTGACATCAAAACTGGTGTCGCTGGAGAAAAAAGGGTTCACTGCAAAGCTCACCATCTATTAGCAAGACATTAGCAATCAGCTTTGAGCTATTGTTAATATTTCGTTATATTCACATTCTAAATTGCTGAATACGTAAGGCTTGAACTCAGATCCAAACAGTATTCAACTTAAAAGAAATCTCTGTCCAATTTCATATGTGAAGCTCCCTGTGTCTCTACGGTAGGCCAAACACAATCCTTGAAAGTGCTTTTTATTGTGATGTGTGATATGTTTATATCAATGTTTATTGCTTTCCATTCATTGTGATATTTTTGCCTTGCAGACACTAGATGATCAAACTGTATTTTTATAAGCCTCTTATGAAGTGACTCCATCAAAACTGAACAGTGGCACCCCTCTTGGATTTGGGAACTGAAATCTGTTTCAGTTATGATAGCAATGCACAGAAGAGTATATCAGAGTCATTAATACAATAAACGGCATCTGGAGCGTCTCTGAACACTCAGGTAAGACAATGGAGGTGTTTCCATTGATTTCAATAGGCTCTGGATACATCTTAGCAGAGCTGGAAAAGGCAGGGCACAGTGAAAAAAACTGTATGTTTTACAGATGCATGTAGGAGTTTCCTTAGAGTATCAAATCAATCTGAGAGGCTTTTAGAAAATGTGTTATAAAAATATCATAATAATATGCGATCTGTTGTTCTGAGGGGAAAAAAACAGCATCCTAACTCAGATGAGGGACATATGTTATCATCAAGAGACTTGCAGGCCTTTTCTCTCCTGTAGGATCTGAGTGCCTCAAACTGATTCATTTCTGGCTGGGGGGAAAGAGGACTGCTGCTTGTTGGGGTTAATGGTGATAAGGACTCTGAGCTGTTGCATCCTTCTCAGGCAACAGATGTTAACAAATGGCAAATGGATTTAAAGTTATTAATTCCATCGCCTTCTCTAGCCGTGCAAGTATGAATCAGGAATGTATGTGAGGGGTTGATGGAATGTGGAATTTAAGCCTTCAGTCCCCATCCGCTTGTTGAACCAACCTCATGTAATTAAGAGAAGTAAAGACTTACGTGACCAAAATAATTTCAAATGAATTTGTTGGCATAACTGGAGGGCTGACTTGTGTGCTTGTGTATTCATTGTAAAAGGAGAATGGATTCTAAAACCGCTGGACCAGGAAAGTAAATTTCAGATCTTATCAAATTGAGTAACAGCTGTTCACTTGCCCTTATATCCACTGTTTCATCATCAACTCCTGAAACACTGAGGGAGGAAGCAGGTGGGAGAATAAAGCTGGCAGAGCTGGAATTGGAAATGTTAATGGATGTCCCATCCATGCTTTCTGTTTGTAATCTGTCCGCAGTTACAGTTAGATACAAGCATAACAAAACAAAAAGAGACAAAGGCAGAAAAAAAGCGTTAATAATGTAGACTTTTTATCGAGAGAAAATCCTCACTTCATGAGTATAACTTGTCTAGTAAATTATTTCTAACTCTGCCAGTAAATGCTTAATACATTGTCTGTCCCTGATGCAGTACTGCACAAAACACTACCACATCAAAAATCATAAAAAGGAGGTAGAATTGGCCTATCTGGATTTTACATCTTACCCATTTAGGTGTATTTATGTGAAAGATGTACCTGGTCTCTATGAACAAGCTCTTGACTTTTATGTACAGTTAAATATAGGTGAGAATCAGGTTCTTGGTGAACAGTTTAGGGTTGATTATAGGAGAATGCTTATCAGGCTCCTCATGATTATTTTTGCTCCGGCCAGGCTGGTTACAATTCTATAACATGTCAGTATTGGCAACTTGTAAAAGAAAAAAAACCTTAACTGGCATGACATGAGTTTTTCATTACTTTAAAAGGTATAGTAGTAAATTCTCCCCTGGTCAGAGACTACCCAGTATGAGAATTTCTTAGATGGCTTTATTGGAGCTAATTGGAGTCAAAGCTGTTCTTACCGTCAGTAATTACAGCCTCATTGCACTGTAGAAGTTGTCAGTATGCTACAGTCTTTAGTTGCGTGGCTCCATTTAATGACAACGTAAAGAATGTTTGGGGAAAATCTGGGGAACTATCAGGCGTTTAGGCACAAGGCCATCACTTAAACATTATTCCTATTACCTGTTTATATACATTGTGGCAGAAGGAGTGGTAAGGACCACTGGTTCATCATCTGGTTCTTTCCCAAACAGAAGGGCACTCTGTAGATTTTCAACCGTATTCAAGAGCTGGTGTGACACTGAACTCTGGAAAAGGATTAGAGGAGGAAACTTGTAACAAAGCTCCTTAGAATCAGCAAGTTGCACATTATTTGCTTTTACCTTGTTTTATGAGCTAATACTAACTTTTACTGTTTCTTATAAAGCTGGCATACTCAGTGATGTGCTTGTTAATTGTAGAGAAAGTTATTCTTATCAACCATTCCATTTCTGTAATTCTCGTGAAAACGTTACAGATAACAAATAAATACATCTTCCACTAAAAGGATTTCTAGTATCTAAAACCTCTACACATTGAAATTTGAAGAACTACAAACATCACATCAATTTTGTGAAAAATGTTCATGCACTTGTGTACATTAATGACCTTACATGCTTGTGTTTAGTCACTTGCAAAAGCAAGACCTAACAGCTTATAAATGGTGTGTTATTAGTGAGTTTTCCTGGAAAACTTCTAAGTTCATAAGGTTCATAAAGGTTCATAACCTTTTCTCTCAGATTAGATTTATATCATGTCCTACAGTTGATAAAAGCTAAAGTATCTTCAGTACAGGAAGCACACAAAGGCAAGTGTGATAATTCACATACAAATAGGACGGGATAGGACTAAATAAACGCATTTCATAATTCTGAATAGAAAAACAGAATGTGGTTTCTGAAAAAGTTTGAGTAGTGATGGGAGCTGATTCCACATTTAGAGAAGTGGAGCCAGTCGTGAATATGGAATACCTGTGGTTTCCTTGAACTGTGGGGTAGAATCAAATCTGGAAAGAATCTGATTACAGTCAGTCAACTTGTCGTCCATTACATGCCTTACACTGATCTTTTGTTCTCCAACGCTCTGTCCTGTTCAGCTTTAAATGTAAAAATCTTAAGAGGCTTCTAGCATTTGCCTCAGCAGACTATTCAGTCTAACAAGTCTAACTGGGGAGAAGTTTACTTTGATATTCAATGTAACTCCATCATGGTGTCACAATAAACCCCACCCAATGCCAATTTAAAAATATAAGAGGCAGTAGAACTCTTAAAAACCTTCTGAAGCAGGCAAATGTTCATACACAGTCCACTGGAAACTGGACCAAACCAAAATTACCTGTTCTGCCTCTGGCACTGACGTATTCACAGCTCTATTTTGTATAGAAGCTTTAAGCACATTGCTAACTGCATTAAATAGATAGTTGGCTGCATCCTTTCGCTTCTGATCGTCTCTGCTGTCCTCTATGTTTACAGTAAGCAAGGAAGCACTGACACCTTTTAGAGTGTTGCTGGCTTCTACCTGCATGGGAAATAAGGCAAAAAGTTTATGTATATTGGTACTACCAATGACAGAAGTGACACATGATCTCATTAAGGCTTTTACTGAATATTACAACATAAGTAATCTGATGGGACTGTTTGTCACCGAAGCTGTTTTAATTATAATCATTTGTGCTCAAGCACCAATAAAGATGAGGTACTAGATGGTATAATAACATGCGATGTAGACCTGAAAAGTGCACCCTGCCTCTATAGATACAATCCGTGAAGAAGATGAGTAACATCTGAAGGAAGCTTATCTGTCAAATGCTGGGCCAAGATACAGTTTAGATGTTACAGTAATGTAATAAATTGGGTTATTTGGGTTATTCTGTTTGGTGGTAAATCCAAAAAATACAACTATATGGTCCAATGCGTTTCAGTCTTATTTTCCACAAAGCGTATTAGATTACCAGCAAGGAATACCTTTGGCCTTGTGCCTTGCTAAATGCCAAAGGAAAATGAATCTATGATTTTTCTTTTGTGCCCAAATGCAGCCACTGATTGATTTGTGATTATAAAAGTACTGGTGAGCTTTTAGCCCAGGGTGATGACAAAGCCAAGCAAATTTATTGCAAATTGGGACATGCTCATTCCCACAATCTGCAAATTCTTAGCAGCCTTAATGTAGAGTGCATGGAGAATCTGAGCAGTGTTGTTGTATTGGCAAAGTTAACCACATATTGCTGAAGTGCTACATCCTAGCATGCCTCTGATTAGAAACTGTATCACAGTAACTGAATGTAACTGGCCAGCCAGTTGTACCCTGAATTGTAGTAGTTGCTGAACAGAATCTATGAGTAGGATTCTTTTACTCTAAACAGTAAAATGTATTCTCTTCTGGTCAAGACACACATAGTGGGATGGTTTAAAAACTGAGTAAGGAGCAGTTAACTGTAAGGCACTGACACTCTTCCAAGCTCAGTGGGATGCAGTAGAGTCTGTACTGTTTGTGTAAGGAGATATGAGGTTAATTTCTTGTTACCTGTGCTGAGACAGACAGCTCTTCACTCCTGTAAGTGATTTCTTTCAATACTTCTGACATCTTAAGAGCAGTTTGTACTGATGTTACGTGAACGGCAGACAGAGTTGTCAGCATCAGCCCTCGGAGCTTGGGTTAAAAAGGGATAATTAGGCAAAGGAATAAGGTGCTAATTAAGACTGTGTAAGTAGTGCTACATATTGACAGCCTAGTTTGCTGTAAATTATGAGGTGGAATAAGGCTCCACAACAAGGATCATTTGAACTTATAGCAGCTCTGCTGACAAGATGCCACTTGCCTTAGTTGCTGTATAATCATGACGATTATGTTACCTCCCAAGTCAGAGAATTTATACGCTTAACCATCCATTAACAGCTAGGAGAGTTACCTGAGAGAATTTGTACTCATGTATGTAAATTACTGTATAATGCCACCTCCAAAGAAGCCATCTATGATTGATGTTACTCAAATAATGAATCTCAATTGAAGGATACATTATATTTGTCTAGATTCTTTCATCTGGGGCATTCAGAGAACGGTACAAATAAAAGCTTAAAACTGAAATACAAGCTTGTAACTGAAAAGAAGAAACTAAGGTTAGCTGCCATCTACTACTTTTGGGGAAATTTAGATAGCATATTTCTCCCACAGAAAAGGCCATTCTAGCAATATTTAAATTGTCTGTGGAAAATCAGGTTAACTTCTAGTTTAAAAATACCATCCAAATTACTTTAATCTCTTAGTTTTGATTAATACTGTTAAAGGAATTCTTCTGTTGATGTGAATGGATTGCAGGGGTTTGCAGAGGAGGGGATTCAAATTCCGACTTTTTGTCTAGATTCTGAATGAAGGGTTTTTGTTTTTTTTTAATTGTTCCTGTTCTAGTCATAGACACAGGATGAGTATCTTTCTTTAAATCAGGGCCATCCAATCACTGAGTTACTCATCAAGGTAATAGAACACAGGAATCTTGATCCCTGATTCCCTACTCCAGCTGCCAACTGTTAACTGCCCTCACCTGTTAAAAGGCCCCACAAACACTCTACGAATGATTGCTGTGATAACTGAATGTAAAATCATGACACTCTAGTACTTGAGTCAATTTTAAGGAGAATGCAGAGAATTCCAGAAGAGGCACTCTCATATCTGAAAGATCTCAAATAGCGATGGGCAGATATTTCATGACTTTTAATTATCTCTAGCCATACCAAAGACTACATTCCATCAGTCTCAAAGCAAATGCAGTGGAGCTAGGGACCAATGGGATAAGGTAGTGGAATAACAATTGAGAAAGAAATCTTTTACTAATAGATTGTAAAGAAAATCATTTGCTTGGGCAGGTAGTGAAAAATAGCTGAAACCTGTGCCAAACACTGAAACAAAGAGTAGAAACTTGAAACCTCCATTCATTTCAGGAGGTGATACAGGAGCTTGTTATTACTCAAGAGCTGTCAAAGAATATGGAGAGTACATTATATTACACTGTACTGCAAGAAAACAAGTGTCTGGCTGACCTCTTTTCGTGTGTCCATCTGCAAAGATATGTTAAGACTTTCCTCTTGGATCTCCTGATTAAGGACTGAAGTCACTGACTTATACAGCTGGAACAGACTCATGCTGTTGTTCCCATCTTTGAGAATGATGTTTGCCTTCTCAGATACAATGGTCTGCAGGGACAGGTTCCCATTGATCGTATCTGTGTGTCCAACCTGAGGAAGAAATCAGATATGCCCCTAACATTGCTAGGACTGTTATAATCACTTTTGCACAGCTTCTAACATCATCTTATTGGTAGCCTAGCTAGAACTGGACAGAAAACTCGTTTGTGTTCCCCATTTTTTTATGGATAATTTTCAGTTAAAATTTCCAGGCATCTCCGATCCCCTTTTGGATCTCCTGACTAAGAACTGAAGTCACTGATGTATACAGCTGGACCAGACCCATGCTGTTGTTCCTGTCTTTTAGATTGATGTTTGCCTTCTCAGATACGAGGGACCGTCTTTAGAAATGCCCAGATATAGGAAAACAGCTCAATTCCAACTCAATCTATGAAAAACTGCTGTCTTTTTAAGATGAGTGTGATTTCTTCTACTTGACTGACAAACTTGTGCAAAGACAAGAGACAGAGCCTAATTCAACCCCGCATTTTTCAAACTTTGCTGAATGGCTTGCCACTAAAACCAGCACCGTGACAAGCATCTCCACTGAGCATGAAGCAGAAATGCATGGATTTGTAGTGGCTAATAAGGATCTCATTACTGGGAAAATGGGACAGAAGCAGGGAGTTCTCTCAGCCTACAGAGACTAACTCCGGACTTCCTAGTAATATAGCTTATACTGCCCAATGTCCAAATAGATCATCTTTTTAAATTCTGTCCTAGAAAAAGAACAGTGAAAGTCTTGATTCCCCAGAGTGTGGTCTCTGCTAGACAGGAAAAAAGGTATTTACGGCACAGCCATAGGGAAGCCAGAAATATAAAATGGGAAGGTCCAAAAGTGAATTGCAGTTTAGGTATCAACTTGAAACACCTTGAAAGAAAGTAATTTTACTGCATACCTTCACTGAAGCATTAGTTTGAACCGTATCACCAAAGTCATTGCTAACAGTAATTGTCATATGTAAAGTGAAATTATTTTCCTCTTCTCCGAGTGGAAGATAAACTGGGAAGAGTTCAGGATCTGGGCCGCAGTGCAGGAGAGAATCTGAAATAAGAAAGATGGGTTGCCTATCAGACAGATGGGGTTACCTCTTCTCTAAGAGTATGCTTGCCCTGTGCAGGCCTGATTAATGGACCCATTATTGGCCTCTATGAAGAGCGAAAGCAGGCTGTGCCTTTGGTCTTGTTAGTGACAGTAACAGCACTTGCTAGAAACCTAGAGAAGCAGTTGGTCAAACAGTTCACCTCAGGACGTACTTGGTTTCAGATAGAAGCAATATGTGAGCTGCCTGTCACGCCTGGATTGGCATGGATCCACTAAGCAGGAGGTACTGCAGGAGACCGTGAAAGTGGTGAGCACTGATCCCTCCTTGGGAGACACAGCACATTCTGGGATCAAGGGCGGAGGCACTGTGCTGACGAGGTATGTTTGCTCGCCGTATCCACGCTGACTCAGTGCTAGGAATTGAGGGAGCAGAATGTCAGCAACAATCATCCTGTGGCAGCGTTGGTCTTCAGACATTACTGTTGCCTATTCTAGTAATGATGCTGTTTGTTCAGGCACCAGAGACATCAGTGTGGGCCTAATCAGAAATGAAATCTCATTGCTGAATAAGCCATAGCGGGCAGAGAACTATTAGAAAACATGGCAAGGGTAGCTTTATGAAGTAAAGCTGTATTATTCAGTCAAGCATTTAGCATAGCATCATTTCCAAATGAGCCTTAAAAAAAGCATTAACAGCTTGGATTATGGTAATTGAATTTATTCTACTGCATAACAGCCCACAACAGACTTAGCTCTTAATTATTTTAAAGAACCCCACATGTAACATAACAGCGCTCAACTTGTGGAATAATTTAACGTCTTGTTTGTCAGTGAGTCTACTATATCTGTGTAACGTCCCATGTGATGCCATGATGGCATGATGGCAGAGACTTTAGCTCAAAGGCGTCTGAAAAACCCTGCTTGCCCCTACCTGTTACTTTAATCTGAAAAGCTTCTCCATGTGTCTGCAAGAAAGAGCTGTTCATTGTCAGCATGGATCTGTTGCTTTGAAGCAAATTCAAAGAGCTCTGCCAGAACCCGGTCAAGCTACAGACTGGAGGGAGGGGAGTGGGCTAGAAAATGAGATAGAAAAGAAAAGATGACAGTAGAGGCTGTTAGCTGTGATTTCTGTTGTGATTTCAGGTTAGATATTTCACCAAATCTTCAAGCTATATGGTAAACAAGATTCTGCTCAACATCAGCAGAGGTTTTGCCTCACTATGATTCTGTGGTTAGACATACTGTACTGAGAGAATGAACAATATATTGATGCCATATCAGTTATTTCACATGAATATTTATTATAGGTACTTGATTAGATACCTAAGACATACATAGGTAGAAACCTATATAAAAAGCATGTGTGCATTTGCATTCCTATCTGTACGTATACAATCACCAATACTAGCTGCAAGTTAAATAATCCTTTACCATGTCTGTGGGGAGAATTTTCACTGTCAGGAAGGGGGTGTCAATTAGGTACCTTCTGTTATAACCTTCCCAAAACCTAGCACCCCCTCACCTCAGTCTTGCCTTTTATTTCCAAAGCTTCCATGTGACAAAGTATTGCTCTGAGGCCACATGGCTTTCCCTCAGGCTGGATGTTTATTTATTGTTTGTGCAGTATTTCTGACAAAGCCAATGCACTTACCTTGGTTTGGAATGTGTTATCTAAATACCAGTTATAATATATTGCCTTGGAGTCCTTCTGTCCAGAGACACTCAAAACAACTTCCTTGCTAGCATTCACTGGCTTGCAATTTTCCTTACACCTGTAAGGATGTAAGACAGCAGTTACGAGCAGTAACTGTAAGAAATGTCATGGTACATGGTGTGGATTGTTATACTCTCATTTGATGAAAATCTGCACAAGCCCTGGGATATGAGACAGGTGACACATGTGACTCACAAACAGAAAAATATTTCATTTAAAAGCAAGAAATGTAGGGACCTTCATCCCGTTTTCAACAGTGACTGAGGCCCAGAACCAGCAAACTGTTTGTGTTCCAAAACTGATTTAGGCTCTCAACTGAAGGGTACTGCTATTTGAGTTTTGAATTGATAATATTAATAGGTCAGTGAAATGCCATGGGGCACTAGACTCTCAAAGACGAGATTTTTTTTAAAGCAGTAAGGTGTATCATCTGGGTGTCCAGTAGGAATATCAGACATATCTTATGGATTTTATTTCCATCGTTTCAATTAGATTTACATCTGGAAATCTCCAGCACTGAAAGGGTGTAGCAGGGTGAAAAAACCTAACTGATTTTCGTAACAACATTTTTCAGTTTACTAAAGGATTGTGTTCTTTATTTGTCTGCATTAGCAGGAGTTTGAACTTTGAGATACAGCAAGTCCCATTTTGTTTTTTAACTCCTGTGATGGTAAGGAATCTATATATTTACAATGTTCGATAAATTATCACTGTATTAATATTATTATTAAAGATAACTGCAGCCCTACACTAGGATTTTGCAGTAATAATATTAAATGCTGAGTACTATGGTTTAAAATCACACCTGATTTCTAGTTGCAGCTCTTGTTTTGCAGTCACGTACAGACATTGCTCATCTTGCCTCTCTTCATTTCCATGGTTTCGGACTGTAACTTTCACAGTCACTGCTGACTTTGGAGGAGGAAGGCAGGAAGGCGGGATCTGCACCTCAGTTTGGTTGATTAGTATTATCTGTTGCCGCACGCAGTCATTCCACTCAGCCCAGCAAGCTCCTGCACAAACATTTCCTTTATAATTAGAATATTCATAACATTCCATGACACTTGTAAAGGTCTTGCCTGCCATAGCTTTTAAAGAGCTTTACAGAGCAAACAAATTTCCTTAACCTAATTTATCGAGTGGGTTACCACAGTTCAGCTTGACTTCTTCAAAGTAAGCTATGACGTCAGGGATAAAGACGGGGACAAAACACAGATGTCCAGAATCCCAGTCCAGTTCTCAGCTATAAATGGTTTTGCATCACATTTAATGCTAATTATTGCTATTTTATTGAGGCACATGTATCTTGCAAATGCCTAACTGTTTAAATCACTTGAGATTAGCTCTTGGCAATGAGGGTGAGAGCTTAGGACAGGCAGATCTTGAGAAATTAAAAACTAGAAGTAGCCACCTGTGGGTGAAGAGAAAACTATGAACTATGCCATATTGTATATATGCCATATATATTTACCTATGCACACACGCACATACACACTCTGTGCCACACACACACACACACACACACACACACACACACACACACGCACATATAAAAAATATACCATAAGTGGTTAGTTGTTAAAGCAGAGTGAGGTAGAGGGACGTTCTTCCTTTACAGTTAGTGGCAAACTTCTTTAATGTCAGGCAGAGACTAAACCATCCTTTACTCAGATTTTCACCACTGGATCTAACATGGCAGTGAGTTTGTCACTCAGCAAGCAGCAGTTGGTGGAAAAGCTTCAGGAAATGCACGTACCACAGGACCAGAGGAAACTGGAATTATCATTGTTGTCTGGCCAGCCAAGTGTAACAGTTGTGAAAGGATCCACATGACGACTTGGTTTAATATACATTTTGTTTTTTCTTTTGTGATCCTAAATAATAAATAAATATTCCAGTTAAGAAGTTAGCATGTATAAACACATACAGATGTTGCTTCTTTGTAATGAAGAAAGTCTAAAAGTGTAGGCCTCAAGTCACTATATGCAGAGCTGTATGCAGTTTAAATGATCTTCCGCTGACCAGAGGTAATATGGGAGTAGAAGCTATAGGAATAGAAGCAGATGGCACAGACAAATCACATATGGCAAAAATATTCCCAAACTCATAAGTGGCTTAGGAGCCCAAATCTCATTTTCAAAACTAATGCAGGTACTTAGAAACCTAATTCCCATTAATTTTCCACTTCTGGACCACGACTTTTAAGCAATGGACAATCATTTGTCTTCTACTACCTCTTCTAGTACATCACTTTTTTGTCGAAATTGGATACATTACAGCTGTAGACAAAATGAAGAATAAGGTAACTGAATTTGTCATTCTGTGCAACTGTGATGAACCCGGTTCTGAATTAGGCTGGTATTCCTCTGATGTGATGCAGTCTTACAGCCATTCTGTAAATCATGACATCTTGTGAAGCAAGGTGTCTCCTATAATAGACATCCATCTGCTATAGTTATATAGTTAAAAACTAGACCTTCAAGGTGATAACAAAATATTGTATCTAGCAATTCTATGATTTAATTAAATCTAGCATTCTGTGGCACAGAAAATATAGTCCGTAATGCAGTATGTTAGAATTACTTCTTATAAATACTTTATACAGCACTTCTACAACCAAGAAGAATTTCTCAGCATTCAATTTTAAAGTAAAAACTTTAAATAATACTTACATTTGTCTTTTGGGTATTTGTTTTGGAGCTGCCTTTTACGTTAGCAGAATCTATTTAATACAAAAAAGATCAGAATGTTTTAGTGCTATCTGTAGAGCTCTTAGACAGTCCTCAGTGACAAAGGGGAATGACATAAACACTCAGGATTTGACTATGGTGAGTCTGAAAGAGAGGGCTGTAAGAATCAGACTCTCGAATTGTGATAAAACAGTCTTGTAACAACAGGTAAAACTGTAACAACAAGCTAGCAGCATGCTATAAAGATGATCCTAATTCCCCATCCTAATAGTATAAATCAAAATAAATTCACAGATGGTGATGGAGTTCAATTGATGAACAAAGAAAAATTGAGAGAAGCACTGGAAATGTCTTAATAGGTTTAATGCTAAAATCACTTTATTTGTGGTATAATCTGCTATTGTAAATGTAAGGGTGAGCCATCTAGAAGCACTTACTGACAGCAATTTATGTGATGATTGTGATGCAGATATTTCATAGTTTCATAGCTATGTCCCAGGCCACAAACTTCACTAATTATTTCTAGGACAAATAGCGAATATGCAGTGTGTAACATATATAGTGTGATGCTGATTTATGACCACTTCCAAGTCAGGAAAGATGCCTTCATTAGAAACAAGCCTCCACAAGAGTTTTCAGTGCTGTTACTGGAAGGAAAGCAATTACTAGATGCAAACCATAAACACTAAACACCCCATGAAATGCTCTGATGGCAGAACTTCACTTACGTGGTCAAAAATGGCACTGTCAGGATAATGCAATTACCTTCTTTAAGGGAACTGTTTGCCAGCACATTGATGAGCCCAATATCCATGCTCAGGTTTGAGAAGGCGTTCATGGCCACCACTTTTACCAGGAAAGTACCTAGAGTAGATATATAGTCAATTAGGAATAGCAGTGCACCAAAAGTTACCAAATTCAGCTCTAAGTTATTGTCCCCCACCCAGAGGTGCTGTGATGAAATGTATGAACTCCTCTACACAGTTATCTGGCTTAGAAAGACAGATGTCAGCATGCTGTACCTTCAGAGGACGTGGGTATGCTGTATGTTCGAGGCTCCCCATGAGGGCTGTCTTCCTCATGAGAGTGCGTTTCATTAGATCCCACAACCTCAAACTTCAGTTTATCTGGGGCTCCATGAGACACAGAGACATTTATCTCTAAATTCTCCCCCAGCTCCAGAGTGTGAGAAGCTAATACAGCCTGAAGACCAGATATAGGCTCAATTAGGTGAACAGCAATGCTTTTGAAGATCTCCGATGAGGTTGTATTGCTGGATGCTCGGATTTGCAGCTGATGTATCCCTGGGCCTAGTAGCTCTTGAGAGGTACTGTTGAGTGTCAGATTGTGAGGGACAATTCCTTCCTTTGCACTGGATTCAGTGAGTGTCATGTTATCTGCTAGTATAACGTAGGTCACTCCATTACCTGCAAAAAGACAGTTCAGAATTTCTCACAACTTGCCTAATAGGCCATCCAATTCTAGCTGTTTTGTGCAACATTTAGATATTTATAAAGGGGTTAGAAGAATACTGCAGCAATGCAATTACTTCAATTAGATTTGCTTCATCTGCTTTTGTGTCCCTCTGGGCTCCCTGTGAAAGTCAATCACATATATTTCCTGCTGGGAATCTTAAGGCAGTCAAGAGAATTCAAACATGTGCTACTGAATTTTATTTTTTAAGCGTGTATGTGGATTCCAGAAGCTTGAAGTGAGAACCAAATATATATCAGCAACTATGACCTGCTCAGCGTAGAATCATCTTACCCTCATTCAGTGAAGCATTTCTGCAGGTGCTTAACTTCAAATTTGGAAATATTCCCACTGGCTTCATGCAGATTCACGTGGCTAAAGTTATGCTCATGCTTTGTCAGCTTTGTGCAGAGGAAAGAAGGGTTTATGTTCATGTCTGAAGTGCTGTTAAGATCGCTGAGAAAGAACCCCTAAAGCATTCGCTAAAAAAGGTGCTGTTTTGTGTCATAAAAATCCAGCTTCTTCTTATGGGTAGTGTAATATTTAGCCTGCCATTTAAGCATGCAGAATAATTACCCTCACCTCCATTGAGTTCTACTTGAATCCATAGCAACTCCCCATACAGTGTCCGGCAGTGAGAGCTGTTTCCAGATTCATACTGGCTGTAGCACCTAGTAATGCTAAGCTGATCCATCTTATCCTGAACAGTCACCCGTTTCTGAGCTGTCACATGCCATTCGCTGGTTGTGCATTCCACAAAAACAGTAAACTCTCCAGGAGATGAATATCTGTGTGTGACACTGCTGACCAGCCTAGGATACAAAGAGAACTTGTTGCAGAAGACTGTCCTGAGAAGTCTTTAGCACTGTGTTATAACAGTGGTCACAGTTCCATAACCTCTGACCTGACTCAGCTCTCTTGCAGTCACTTTAATCCCTAGTGTATTTACAGAAAATTTTTAGGGTTAAAGATTCTTTCTTTGTTCCAGCTCTGGAGTCGTTAAGGCTGTATATCAAGGGTGGTCGTTCCAGAAGCATATCTATGGGGATGAATATATGTTGCTGTAAAGTAGGTAGATTACAGTTCAACACCGTGCTCCATCAGACCTGGTTTGTGTCGTGTTGGCCTCTGAGCACAGACATATGACTGTGGACACTAAACCATGTAAAGGTGCCCTTAATTTCTATCTTCCTTAATTTATTCCCTGATTTACCTTCTCTTAGATACATCAGTGGCAACTGAGACCGCTCAGCATGTTGTCAGATCACTCCCTTGCTGCTATTTGATTCTCATGTGCAGTTGCTTCTATACTTGCTCATGCTGGCAAAAATGTATCTTCCCTGCTGGGTCTGGTGCAGCTCCAGTAGTGGTAGCAATAGGAGGTGAATGGATATGAAGAAGTCTGCTGTGGCTGCCAGGATTACTGACAAGCATAGGGAGACGCTAAAAATACTCTAAGGATATTCCTCTTGAAGGGGATATACCATGAAAGGCAAATAAGTAGGTAACATTCCTGGCACTATTCTTTCTGAACTATTTCTATTCTAATCCCAGTACCATCTAGCAAATGCAAACAAAGATCAGGACATATCATCCTTGACAATACATATTTTTCATTAGCTGTTTTAATGAGGAAAAATATTTAGTGCAAACTGGACTTCAAAAACATGCCAATATCAAGAGAAGAGCAGAAAAGGCAGTCCTTATAAAGCTAGGTATCAAACTGGATGCAGAAAACAGATGAACATGATTGGTAGCCGTTTAGTTGATGAAGTAAAAGGGTTTACCATAAAAACAAGCCTCTGCTTGCAGCTCGCAAATATGTTTCACTTAAAAGTTCACCATAAGAAAAAGCATTTTTAATGAGGTTCTTTACAGCTGCAGACCTGTGTCTGTAGCTCTGAAAGAAAGTCTACAATCTGTAGTACATTGCTACTTTGGTTTTTCATTCTTTCTACTCTTTACTTATTTTTTTAGTTCGGTCAAATAGGATTCCATTAGTAGACAAATAAATTTCCAAATTCGTATATTTTCTTTCTGAGCACTAGGACAATGCTAAATCTGATTTTTAAAAACAGCAGAAAAATGTTTGATCTTTCAAAGACACATTTTTCACTGAATTAAAATAAAACAAATAACACCCCAAATTCCATTATATTATTTTAAATGTTATCAAATATAAAAAATACACTTTAAAGTGAAAAAAGTAATGCTTGCCCATTTCTTTGGCAGTTACTGAAAGTTTTTCAGTAATTTTGTGCGTTTGGGATCTGTATTAAATTCCGTTAGCAGGAAGTAGGAATCACTTGTTATAGTCAGCAGAAGAAAGAATGTGGTTGGCAACTTGACATAAAACTGTGTATTAATTTCAAAATGAGTTTCCGCAAAATCAAACTGTCTTGTATATATGATCTGTACTTAATCTAGTTAATTTTTAACATCTCATTTAAGAGACTTGAAGCATTCAAAGAAATGCAGACAGTGAAATTTACTGGTTGTCTGATGACAGATGAAAGATATATCTTACGCTGGAGGGTAGTAGGGATCAATAGCGTGTCCATCTCCAGTGCTAATGATACATGAAAGGTTGCCGGAGTATGGAGTGAGCATCCAGTTCAAAGTGACTGTGATATTTTCAAAGACAAAGCATGTATCTGTTACAGCCAGCTGCAGACCTGTAAAATGTAATGCCAGAGTTCAGTGTCATTGTTCGCCTACATTTCTTGCATAATTAAATTTATTTTCAGGCATTGTTGGGAGCTGACCTCCAAAACAGAGTTGATATTGCTGCCAATTTGAATGCATTAGTGATAATTCTTCTCTATATGTACTGGTCAGGATGCTTGTTGGAAAATAATTTCATTCAAGGGTGTTTAATGTATCTGAATTTCCTGGCTTTGTAGCCTTATCAAAAACCCCGTTGAGCTATCAGTTAGGACTGAGAGGCTACATTTTTATGCCTTGAATATATTTTCACATTTTCCAACGGACCACTCTTCCAGCTTCTTCCTTGAGGATGGACCAACTATTTTTAAGATAATTGGCAATGGTCATAGTGTTACTGCAAAGTGCAGAACAGGATTTTGTGTTGACAGCCCCCACCACTTACCTTCCTTGCAGTGGTACTGAATAGACAAATAGCTTCCAGAGGCTGGACAAGGATCTCCAAAGAAAGTGCCGTCTGCTGCTACCTGGCAAGCCTGGAGACCATGACATTGTCCTGGAAAGAAGGACCATCTTAGATGCGCTGGTGTTTTTTGTCTTTGACTGTCATAATAGCTCAGAGGAGAGATGATTACAGAAATAAAATGGGGTGGGGAGGAGCAATATCTTGTCACTGATTTCTAGACAGACTCCCACAGCACTTTTACTTGATTGTGTTGCTTACTGCTGCTTTTTCTTAGCACCATTCCACTTTACAGGAATAGAGCTGAATTGAAGAGGGTGAAAAATGAGGAAGTCAGTGTGTTTGGTTTAACTTTGGCTGGAAGCCTAAAGAGTCACTATAGAGATAGGCCACAATCAATGTTTAGACTGGCAAGCAATAGAGCCCTGTAGCTCTTGCAGTCTGCACACTTGTGCAGGTGGTGGCAGCTTCCTCCTGCCCTCTTGTCCCCACAGAAGCTCCCTGGGTGCCAGCCTTCTCACTCATCTTTGTTAGAGGTTAGGTTTGTATGCATGGTTTACTTGTATGCTGGTCTATCTCCAGCCTATCTATTGTACTCATCAGGGAATCAGTGTATCCACATGTTTTCTTCACACTAGGAGAGAAGCCAGGTATGCCCTTGTTCTCCATTTGCTCCTGTGCATCCCCTCTCCCCTCTGAGTTGCTTGGCTCCCCACAAAGTCCCTCCTTTCTATTCAGCCTCCTGTGGGAACCTCCTGCACGTAAGAAGTTCTTTGCAATCCCCTTCATTTCGGCATAATCCGCTTTCGCACTCACTGACTCTTACTGAAATAAACCAAAATAAAGTATTTCAGGAAGCAGGAACTTTGGTGCTTACTCTATGCCTCTGACAAGCAATGCAACAAGATATTACCTGCTACTTCATCTTTGACACTGATCCAGCTACAGTCTTCATCTCCATCATACTGGAGAGACGTCTCCAATACGCAGTAGTGAGGGGTCTTCCGTCCATAGAAACTCTCTCCAATCTGAATAACTTCTCCTGATCCACACTGTACAGTGGCATTGTAATTATTACAAGCAATGCTCTGGCCAGATTCTAATAGGGGAAAAAAATTAGATTTAATTTAAATGAGGATATATAGCTGAGGGATCTGCCCCTTCCTCCTCCATTGTCTCTAGAATTGGTCACAGCGTCTCCAGGGTAGCTGATCTTAACCTATTAATTATCAAGACATGAGACCAAAGTTCTTTCTTGAAGGTGGGACTCGACTGGGGCTAAGTTTATCCTTTTTTTTATATGTGACAAAGAAAACAGGGAAATATTTCTCAGGCTTTTTATTTGCTTTCTTGTAATGAGGTTGAAATACGTAAAATTTTTGAACTTCTGAGAAATCCTGCTGCAGTTCTCTGGCACATCCGTTTTTTCTTTTCTCTTCCTCATTTCTTCTTATCCCTCTTTCAATACGCTATGATGAAAATAGAGAAAAGAACAAAGAATCGAATATTTTTCCATTTTTGAAATCCAAAAAGAATGCATTTATGTTTTTTACTGTGTTAAAAATCTGAGAACATTTTTATTAAAACAAACAAAAATACCTTAATTAAAAAGATTGAACATATTTTTCTGGAAAACATTTAGTGTTGGACCTGCAGTACTGAAAAGTTTAAAGCTTCTCGTAACTTCACAAAGAGCCCTGTGGCGGTGTGTGATCTGCATGACATTCAGGTAACTAACTGCTCTGGAGAAGACTTTGCATATTAAATATGGGACCCAATCCCATTCCTG